GCATGGGGGGACTGCATAACTCTGAGGTGACAGCGTGAAGGGACTGCGTGAGGGGACTGTGTGAGGTGACTCTGAGGGGACTGTGTGAGGGGACTGTATGATGTGACTCTGATGTGGTGCTAGCTGGGCCACTCCTTCAGCATGCCACTCAGGCTTCCCCTCCTGCACTTTACCAGCATTGGCCAAAGTGGGCAAGGGAAAGGCATAGGCTGCTTTAAAGGCCTGCAGTAGGTTAAAACCCTATGCAGCAGCATACTGGCTCATCCATATATTCATTTATTCCAGAACTTTTTACTGGGCACCTATTCAGTGCCACACACTGAGGACACAGAAGCAAACAACGTAGAGAAGCAAGAACCTGCCGACACGAGGCCTGCATTCTGCATTTCTGAGTGTGAGACAAGCAAGGGAGGTGAATGAAGCAGGAATTGAATAATGGATCTTTTCTTACCCCCAAAAATTAATCCTTATTATTTTATGCCATTCTAGACTCTAAACTTCCTGTACATGAAGGTAGCGAGTAAGAAGCATTTTTACTTAGAATTTAAATTCTCATCATTACTTGCTATCTATTCACAGAACATTTAAAGATACTGAGATGAAATTAAACAAATGGCAGGCAATCAAACTGTTAAGAAATGGGGGGGTGTAGTAAAGAAGAGAAAAAACTCACATAACCCACTTACTTAGGCTTCTAGAATGGCATTGTTCCCATTTCTTTCCCCATATACATATAATCCCTACCTTTCAAAAATATCCTTATTTCCTGGGGGTCACTTTGCCCCCAAATGACAAGCACATCAAGACAACATAATCCAGTTACGTTCTTATCTTGCTCTTGTCAAGATGGGTGTTTGATCATTCTTATCATACAAATCAGTCAGGAAAAATAAAACCAGACAGAGCTCTATCGATTTCTACCACAAAGTCATGTCCGTACTTGACTTTCTAGCTAACACAATAACCCTGGCTTATCTGTCACCTGACTTGCTCACCAACCTAGAGACCAGAACCATTTTAGGATGAGTAACTAGTAAAGCAGAACTAAGTAGAAAACACTTAACCTCTGCACCTATCTTAAAAGTAACTCTCACAGTTTGAAAAGAATGAGTTACTGGCACATTCTTCAAGATTATATTTATACTTGTGCTTCACTTTCTGATTTAAAAAGGACAAAGAACATCACAAAAGTATCAAAAGGAATCATAAAATTCTCCTATTTCAAGAGATCGTGTGTGTAAACCATCGTCTCAGGGAAGTTATCCAATTAATTCACTTTTCATAAATATTACTCTCTAAAGACTTTATCAGTGGTGAGCAATATTTTTGGGGGGGCAACATAAAACCTGGTGGGTTATTCTTCCCATAAACAATTTTTTTTTAAGTTTCAATTAAAATCTCTCAAATTAGGACGCCTGGGTGGCTCAGTCGTTAAGCGTCTGCCTTCGGCTCAGGTCATGG